TTTATGGTCTGGTTGCTATGGTTTTTGTGACGTTCAGCGTGTAGGGACGCACGTGCGCCTAGAATGTCGATGCCAGAGTTATAACCTTTGATGTTCCGAGATGTGCGTCCTTTTGTTGAATTACCTTGGCGTGACGCATTCAGCGTTGGACAAACCGGGTGCATTCCAGAGTCGCCAGTGTAAACAACACCAAATTCGATTTCGGAGTTAGGCCTTACATGGCGCCTACAGCAGCTGTGGTTAGGTAGGCCTAAACTTTGCCAGCAACGGGCTAGGTCTGTACACTTTTCAAATTAAACCCCTTGCGCTCCGGTATAGACTTGATATCAAAACTGCTGATTTAATTCGCATAATTTAAAAACAATCTGCAGATACATTGCTTCAATACTGACGATAATTCACCATCGCAACAAAAATTGAGGGTGGTGTTTGAACCCAAATTCGTTGCTGATGTAAAATGAGAGCAACTCAGGATTGACCCGGACTTTTCCATTCGATGTAAGTGGGCAATGCTCCCGGGATCATTCCAAAATTAACACACGTTTATTCTGCCCTTGGCAGTGTAAAAGGTGTACCAGCTAACTCGAAGCTACCCAATTCCATTCAAAATAATTTTACGTCCTATTTGTACCCATTAATAATTCTAGGTGAAGAGGAGAAAATGATAAACCATTTTGGCTATAATAGAAATTATTGTGAAAAGCATCAGTGTTGAACTATGACCTTATGGTTGTTAGCCTATACAAACAATACAAAATGATATTTGGATACTTAGTGTATTGTGTGAATACTTATCTGGATGAAATGATAAGTACTGTTCATCCAGATCCAGGTAAGCATCTCAGACTACCAACACCTCCATATAGGATCGATAATTCAATTGGTACAAGTTACCAGCATCATTTTTGGACTTGTGCTCAAAATATTCACATACTGTACTACCATTGGACTATCAACTTATCAACAAAAAATAAGTCAAATATTCATGACAAAACACTAGTGCATAAATGAATATAATATATCTTATTACTACAGTACTGTAATATCCTAATATCAAAAAACTATTCATATTGGTCAAACATCTACAAAGGATTGTCTTTCACCAACAACTATTCATGTTGGTCAAAGATTTACAAAGGACTGTCTTTCACCAACAACTATTCATGTTGGTCAAACATTTACAAAGGATTGTCTTTCACCAAGTCAGTAAGTTAGGAAACAAAAACAAACTGGTAGTTCATAAAATGTAGGTATTTCCAATTAATCATTCAAATGATCAAGTCAAACAATTCAAATGACAGCAACTTAGCTCAGTCAGCTACACTGACCACCATGTGAGCTGAACCGTGGGCATCCTTTCAGTCACTGGTTCAATCAGCTACACTGACCACCATGTGAGCTGAACCGCGGGTATCCTTTCAGTCACTGGTTCAATCAGCTACACTGACCACCACGTGAGCTGAACCGCGGGTATCCTTTCAGTCACTGGTTCAATCAGCTACACTGACCACCATGTGAGCTGAACCGCGGGTATCCTTTCAGTCACTGGTTCAATCAGCTACACTGACCACCATGTGAGCTGAACTGCGGGCATCCTTTCAGTCACTAGTTCCATCAGCTATACTGACCATCATGTGAGCTGAACCGCGGGAATCCTTTCAGTCACTGGTTCAATCAGCTACACTGACCACCATGTGAGCTGAACCGCGGGTATCCTTTCAGTCACTGGTTCAATCAGCTACACTGACCACCATGTGAGCTGAACCGCGGGAATCCTTTCAGTCACTGGTTCAATTCTCATCGCTGCTCTGCTTTTGTTTCAGCTAGATTACAGAAATTCAAGTTATGATAGCGCACTGTCTTTCGAATGAGACATTTAAACTGTTGGTCCTGTGTGCAATGGGACTTAAGTGCCCGTTGAGTACAATGCAAGCAAACTCCACTCCCTGTTAGCATTAGGCGATGCGATGCCGCTGTCTGCTCGTCATATCAGTCTGAAAGGATCATCATATCTGTTGCATGCGTATTGTTGCGGTACGTTCTGCATAGTAAAGCATTGACTGATTAACGTCTGGTGCAGTGAATGCACGGCTTTAAAGTACGCAGTACAACATTCAGGAGAGAATA